CAGTTGTTTGGTGAGTGGTTCAGCTATCTTTCCATATCCTTCCACAAATCTTCGGTAATATCCTGTTAACCCCAAGAACCCTATTAATTCCTTTAGGTCCTTGGGTAACAGGCATGACTGCATGACCTAGATTTTCCTTGGGTCAGCTGACATCCCTTGCGAGCTGATTAAGTGCCCCAAGTATTCCAAGGTCGTGCAACCAAACTCGCATTTCTTACGATTTGCATACAATTGCTGCTCCTGTAAGACATCAAATACCGTCCTTAAATATTCACAATGTTCTTCCAAAGTTCAACTGTAGACTAGGATGTCGTCGAAGAAAACTAATACACATCTCCTTAGCAACCCCGTGAACACTTTATTCATCAAGGATTGGAATGTTGTTGGGGCATTAGTAAGCCCAAACGACATTACTAAAAATTCGTAATACCCCTCGTGAGTTCGAAAAGCAGACTTGTATTCATCTCCAGCCTTAAGATGTATTTGGTGATACCCTGACTTTAGATCCAGTTTGGAAAAGATGGTGGCGCCATGTAGTTCATCTAACAACTCATCAATAATCGAAATTGGGAAGCGATCAGGTATGGTAGCTCGATTCAAGGCCCTATAATCCACACAAAATCTCCATCCCCCATCCTTTTTCTTCACTAATAGTACCAGACTAGAAAAAGGACTATTACTTGCTTGAATTATTCCTGCCTTCAGCATTTTAGTGACTAGTTTCTCAATCTCAGCCTTTTGTGCATGGGGGTATCAGTAGGGTCTTACACTAATGGGTTCACTGCCTTCCTTCAGAGTAATTGCATGCTCATGACCTCTCAGAGGAGGTAACCCTACTGGTGATTCAAATACCGCCTTATACTTCACTATCAACTCCTTCACCGGTAGTGGAATGTTCAATTCAACTGGCTGCTCATCCACTTGCACTGAGCACAACTCTATTATGATCCCTCCTCTCTCTTTTTGTAACGTTTTGATCATTGATTTTAGTGAGACCAATGATTTACTCAACCCTTCTTCCCCCTTCAGAATGACAGTGCTATTTCCCAAAGGGATTCTCATCTCTAGTGACTTCCAGTTAACCTGAACCGTGCCCAAGGTGCTAAGCCATTGCATTCCAAGTATTATGTCCGAGCTCCCCAGGTCTATTGGTAAATAATCCTCCACCACTAATATGGACTGCATGTATAATGCCACCCCCCTACATTTTCCTTTTCCTTTGACTGCCATACCCGTTCCCACTTATACCCTATATCCACTGGTCTCCGTTATTGACAGATTGAGTTTCCTAATTAATTCCCATGACATGAAGCTGTTCATAGCACCATAATCAATTAGCACTACCACATCATGCCCTTCCACCGTTCCTCTCACCTTCATAGTCTTAGGAGAGGTTATCCCAACCACGAAATTCATTGATAGCTCTACACTCTCCAGATCGTTACAATCAATCACCTCTTCGGAACACTCTCCTCCTGCCCCGTTTTGCTCTTCTTCATCCACCAACAGCACTTGTAGTTCCCTGTTGCGGCACTTATGTCCAACATGAAACTTTTAGTCGCATCAAAAACATAAGCCCTTGTCCTTTTTTGCTTGAATCTCCGCCTGGGTTAGCCTTTTGAACCCTGTATTAGGGCTTGCCAAACCCATTCCTTCACCTCTGTCCTGTAAAGTGGTTCCCTTACTCAAGCCCAAGGAATTGTCCGAGTTTCAGCTCTAGTTGGAATCGGAGCAGTTGCACCCAGGATTCGAGGGCGTTCCCGCTCCTTCGCCTTGTTGATCCTATTGTTCCTGTCCTCCACTCTTTGTGCCATGTCCATGATTTGTGAAAGTCCTATCGGTCTCGCCATTAACACCTCTGCCTGCATTTCTTCTTCCAGCCCATTAATGAAGACTCCTTCTAGCGTGTCCTCACTTACATACATCAGGGGAGCAGACATCACTTCGAATTTTTCCCTATACTTTGCAACCGTTCCTGTCTATCTGATCACAAGGAACCGCTGGTGCAGGGTCCCATACTGGGTATCACGAAACCTTTCTAATAACCTCCGTTTCAGCTCCCCCCCGTTGCGTATAGGCTGTCTTCCATCTTCCCATTGAAACCGAGATAGGGCACTCCCTTCCATACACACCCCAGCCGCCAACACCTTCTCGGCGTCCGACAACTTGTTCATGCTAAAATACCTCTCAGCTCGAAATATCCATGAGTCCGAATAGACCCCATTAAATAGTGGTAGCTCCAATTTCCGAAAGTTACCTTCCGCAGCACAAATGACTATATTCTCAGTGGCTCCGGGCTTCGATCCAGTGAGTTCGGTGATAGAGGCAGTAGACTTCATTTCGCTACCTGCGTCGGTCACGCCGGTAGATTCTTGTGGTATCCCCTTAATCATCTTCGCTAATATCTGAAGACCCTCATTTAATTCCTTTCGACCCACTGCTAGACTTGCTTCGATCTTATCATTCAATTTGCTCAGCTCCATTCCCAACCGTGCGTTTAAGTGCTCCAAATCTCCTTTCAATCCTACCACGGCATTACCCAAGGGTTGAATTTGTACTACCACACTCTCTAATGCTTCAATTCGGTGGTCCATCCTTGTAACCGGCATTCGTTTCCCAAAATCTCAAGTGCTCTAATACCAATTTGGTAGAACCTGCTGAAATTAAACAGCCCAGATGTATTATAGTTCGATTATTTGTTAAAATGAATCACATAGGAGCTGGAATTAAAGGGAATTTATGGAATTGAACTACAGACTCGATGACTACAGGGAAATGAGAGAGTAACAAGGCAAGTTTCGAGAGTTGCCTCCTCTCCAATGGACCCAGAATTCTATTCTCTGAATGGTTATTTCAACCTTGGCCTCTACTATTTATAGACTCTTAACCACATGACTCAACAAATCTAACAACCAATATTCCTTCTAACTTCCTTTCATGCTCTTCTTGTGACGTCGTTGATAGGTGACCCGTATGGGGGGCTTATTAGTATACATTTGGTTTCATGTATGCATAGCTTATTCAGGCAATTTAGTCTGCTTTTCAAGTTCATGTTTTCGAATTATGCTTGAAATGCTGCAATTGAGGATCTAACTTAGAAGTAGCTGTTTTGAATTGAGGATCTAAACCATGTGATTTTGTTATACAGTAATGATGGTAACATTGAAATTCAATAGATTAAAAATCTCTAATACTCTCATCTGTCTACAGTGGAAAATGAGCAATTGATAATCTTGTTTACCTTTACCTTCAATTTATGAACATGAACATGGTGGTAATTGTTTTGCTTTATGTAAGTGCATTTTTGGAAAGTGAATAAATTGGTTAGGGGATACTATTGTAAATGAACACACCACACGTTATCTCTACCACATTGGTACATAAAATGCTTCATTTACTCCAACCTTCTTTTCGTACACCTTACAGGCTATAAAAATTAGTTCCATTTTGAGTTTAAGTATGACGTTGGATGAGACCATATTTACCACAAGTAGGGTCTACGAAATCAATACCATCAATTTCAAGCTATCTGAATTTTGCGTTGATCAATTCCCAAGCGTGAATGTTTGGTTTGGTTATCTAGTCCATTACTCTCATATCCCTTTCAACCACTGTAGTGAACTCCTTGTAACTTCATCTTTGCAAAGTATTTTCCGTTCTTGCATTGGCTTTTATTTGAAATAATTCCCTAAGCTTGCTTCTCAATAGATGAAGGCTTCAGTGCATTCTTCCATGGAAATGTGAAACTTCAATTTGGACTCTTTGAATTGATTTCATGAGCTCTTGAATCTTGAAAACTACTCTTCTAATCCACCTTGATTGGGGTTGGCATGAGCTACGGGATTATGGCATTGTCCTCCAAATGTCAAGCTCATCCTCCGAACCTCCTGCCAATAGGTCCCCTGTAATATTTTGCAGAAGTTATCTATTCTCCTTTCTGTCTTTTGCTCTTTTGAGGAACCAGTGGCCGTTCCAATTTGTAACAACCCATGTTAGCTTTTCGAGACAAGGAACGTTCTTGTAATAAAACCAAAAGAATTTATCTATATGTACAGGGTCAAATCTCACAGGGCTTTCACGGGTTCCTCACATGAGGTGGGCCGCATACAGGACACGCCTTATTAAAAAATTAACCCAGTAATTCCCAACCTGCCGCCATGTTTGTGTGTATTGGGTAGGGGTTCCCTACTCGGTAACCTAGCACGGCTCAAACCATAGACTGTTGCAAATATAACAATCTAACAAAAATAGAAGTCTAACTTGCAAACATACATAAAAATATGTCTTAAGTAGTAAATAGTAAACCATCAAACTAGTAATCACCTAACAAATTGTATTCTACTGTCAGCACCCAAAAAAAGGCTAAAGTGTTTCTTATGAATACTGCCAATAGGATTTTTGAGAGCATCGTCAATATATGCTCATTTTTTGTCATTTTTTCTCCTCAGTGTCCACTTGCAACAATGCCTTCTTGTCTTTATAAAGGTAAGGAAAAAGAACGAACATGAAGACAAAAAAAGAAAATATAAAAGAAAGGAAACAGTAAAATTACGTGACTTAGGTGTTTTGTCTCACTTAGGTGTTTTGTCTTGGCGACATTGAAAGTTTGCAATTTCACTGCGTAGACGAGTTTATCGTTGGCACTTGCTTCATAGTGTGCATTATAAATCTTAATTCAAGAACATTGGTCAAAGAAGGATATAGAAAAAAATAACCCTTGTTCATGCATTATGTACTTGCGTAATAACGAATGCGAGGAAAGTTGTTTATGGAAATAAAGGAAACAATATATAATTTGTAGCTGTTATAATTTATAACCATTATCAAAATTATTAATTATTGGATATGCCTGTAATTTTTATCCTCAAATCTTCGGTTTTTCAAAGATTTACTTTTATCAATATTTTGCGTTCTTGGTTGCCCGAGTACCTCAAGTATCTTGTCTTCATTGTGCATATCTCCCATATTCTGCATCTTGACTCAAATACTGGCACAGGTTATCAATTTGACTATGTTTTCAACTGGACTATGCTGAAGTATCCTCAGATTGGTGCCAGTTCTAGGGCACGAGTAAGTGCTTTATAATTATCTGTTAGCTTCATCTTCTTTGATTTAATGATTTACTAATTCATGGCTTCGCTTCCAGAATCCCAGTGGGAGTGCAGGGTTAAGTGCTGGACCTTCTGGTGAAAGACCAGGGAGAACATCAGGTAAAAACATGACCTGGTACTTAAAAAAGAGTTTTACAATTTGACTTGTGAATCGATAATGCGTGACTATAGCTCATGTGGACTTTCACCCTGTTGTAATACATTTTTTGTCTGCTTTTGCAGACGTCAAATTTCTGAGTTGATTTCAATGTTTCCCTAAATTGAATTAGCATATTCAGTTTCACATGGAAATTCCAGGACGATTACTTGACTCTTTTGATTTCCCTGTTCTCAGTGGGGCAAGATATTCGAGATAGATTCTCAGGTGCCGTTGAGGCTTTTTCCAGAAGACATACTTCAAGTACAATTCACAAACATAGGACATCACAAGATGTATGATAGGCCCCCATTAAATAAATATATTCTAAGAAGATCAAGAAGATTGGTGAAGATTGCGGCTGCAACAAACTCGGTTGGAGGGGTAGAATGCGAAGGGAAAATCAGTTACATGTAGCTTATAAATAGGGACGAGTTGGAGGAGAATATGCATGCAAATTAGTGACTGAAAACCATATTATGAAAAGTGCAGCTTTCTCAAAAGGCTGATTGTATTTCCTTTATTTCTATAATTCATCTTACCATCAATACATGCCTATAATTTCTACAATTATTCATCTATCCTCAGGTAGTTCTTATCAATGTACCTTTATCAAAGAATGTGGCATTTGTTTTACCTTCTTCCCATAAGAAATTAGGAATTTCTCTATTTGTATTTTGTTTTCTCATCACTTAGCCCTTGTTTGAATCCCCTTTCTTTATGCTCATTTTTAGCCCAAAAAAAAAGCATTTCATAATAGTGATTTAATGGAGAATGTGAGGCTAAAAATAAAAATAAAAATTTGAATTTGTGTGTAATATTATTTTATTGAATAATATGTGGTTGAAAATGAATTTTTATAAAAATGTGGCTCAAACAAGGACTTAGCTATTATGGGTGCTGATTTTGGTGGGTTTTGGTGTTTGTGTGGGTGGGTGTAGGGGGGGGTGGTTGGAGAAGAAGATGAATAGTGATTTTATTTTCTTGATTTAATTATTAATATATTGTAATTATGTTTTTGTTGAAAAATGTAGAGTTACTATTTTATCATTCTAAAATTAGTCAAAATTATTGTCAATGTTAAATTTTTGGTCAACTAACTGTTAAATTAACAGTTTCCATACATTTAGACTTCAACTGCGAATTTTTGAAAGGTTTGGTATCATAGTTGGCACAAATGAAAGGTTTGGGTCAAAACTACTAATAAACAAAAGGTTTGGTATCTCAACTGCAATTTTCCCTAAAAAAAATATAATTCTAGCACATTTTCCGACCCTTCTTACTTCGTAGCATCTTGTACAAGGCAGAAAATTTAGAGTTCATATGATGTAAACAAGGTATTACAATTAAAAGTTTACAGAAGTGTGGTAAAACTAGCTAAATGGGACATTTAGAGCTATATGTTTCAATTTTCCTAGGAACAGAGAACCCTATATGAGCAAATTAATAACCTGATAGTTTCACATGTCGATCACAATACGATCTTCCAAACACTTGAGAACAAAAATTTGAAAGGGAAGGTACAATACAAGGTTGATGACAAACTGCAAAATTTTAATGGGGCGAATTATGCACAAAGATAGTATATCTTCAAGAAATTCAAACCGTGGAGAAGCAATGATCGTCGAATCGGAAAGGACAACATTGACAATTCACAACGCACGTGGCTCAAGGATTTCTGAGGGCAGCCAATCTCTTCTCCAATTCGTCAGTCCCCGAACTACAAGTAGCAAAATATGTAAGAGAAAGTGACTCACACGATGAACAAAACTAGACGACACTGTAGAAAATGTTAATCCTGACAATATATAAGAAAACATGGCTCCCATGCGACAATGAAAACCGTGCAACTTAACATCAATGCTATGAATATGATCAATGGAAACTCGAAGAAAAAAGGTTACATTTCTATTGCAGAGAATGTGAACAAAGGAAAATCAGATGGTAGATAACAGAAAGGTGTATACCCAAAAATTTGGCAGAAACAATTTTTGCTTTAATCAGTTTCAGAAACAAACCCATCATAGCTGCTCTTATGTTTTTGACGCTTTAATAAACCAAACTTAGAACTAGAGATATCTCATGATAACCTTGTCAGTAACTGGTAATGTTGAAGGAATAACGTTATAGTTCTGTGACCAATCAACCATTAACTCTTCGGCTTTCAAAAATCTGTAACACGTGTGTGTGTGGGAGAGAGAGAGAGAGAGAGACGGAGACAGAATAAATAGGTAATGGGAGAAAGTGGGTGCCAAAATGTACCAAGCCGCCCAATACTGAACTGGACCGTTCGGGCCCAGATTTAGGTACCATTGACCTGCATGGGTCTGCCCAACACAAGCCCTGCCAGGATAGCCGATGCCTATTCACATCTCTAGACACAGCTAAGCAAGGATACTAAGATCATTAACAAAACCCATTTTTAGTTATTGGTTTATTCTCGCTTAAGACACCAGTACTTCCTTAATGTAAATGCCTCTAACTAATCTTGATGTAAGAAGCGGGGCTGATTTTATATTTAGTCTGCAGAACTGTACTGAAATTTATTCTTGTAATAAGAAAAACACTACAGTATCATAATGAAATGCGCATTTGTGTCTGAAAAGTTGTACCTTCCAACATCCTCGGTCATCTTCCCAGCAATTTTTCCTCTGGGAGCGGCTGACAACTGCCAAGAATCAGAAATGGAATATCGACTTAAATATAATACATGGAAACTTATCACTGCGTCAAAGTAAAAGTTCCACAAAAAAAAAAAAAAAACCTGTGAGGCAATATCTACACCAATTTCGTCCAGCACCTGTAAACATCAGTTAGGCATAAACGAGTGAATGTATTGCATGGAAAAATACATCTCATGACAATAAAATATCTGCATTCACAAATTCTCTACATTTTTTTTTTATTTTTTTTTTTTGGGGGAAAGGTATAAATTCTCTACATTCTGGGAAAAAAAAAAAAAAAATGTAATCAGTTTCCAGTCACACTACAATACAGTGATCTGCGATAAAAATTTGATACAGGAAGAACCCATACCGAGACAAAACTCTACGGGTCACGTATCTTTGGATCCTAATGATTCTTCTATGTTTAACATGACAATCAACTAGTAATTGTATAAAAGTCAGAGCAAAGTAACATTATGACTTCTAGATTTTAGTGATCTCACAATCTTTGCTAGTAATTATCTTACAATCTTGAGATAACAAAATAAACAATCTTAATTTTTTTTAAAAATGTATATTTTTTCTTTTCTTTTTTGAAATTATGGCTTCTGAAAAGTAGTCATGGTGAACTTGATCCAGGACAGAAAATCAAATTACAGCCACTAGCACCTGAACTCCCATTTAAATAAGTTATTGGATTAACCAATCTTGGTGATCTACTTAACTAACAGGATTTAACTTGATGAAACTTTAATTTTCAGCATCTCGCCAGAAAAAATTGTTTCCCAGCCAAAATAATACCTGGTTCGTTAACTCTTCCGATTCGTCCTCAGCTTCATCATTATCCAAAGCATCATCTATGGTGTCTGACATCATTTCCGTCTACGAGGACAGAGATGAAAGCCAGAATTGTTAACTTCACTAGCAAAAGTATTATATCTTTTGAAAATATGATGCCAATTATGAACTTACAGTCATATCCATTTGTGCCGATTGCTTCTGAAATTCTTGAATCATCTTTGCCTGCTTTGCAGGTTCCATTTGCTGCATCAAGTCCAATTAAAAAGCATAAAAAACACAAAAAGTGACAAGAAGTATAAATATACTTAATACCATGATCTGCTACATCAAAAAACCAAACGACCAATCTTTTCAAGCAAGACCTGGTAAACAACACGCCTCCAAAGTGGAAGAGAAGAAAATGGTAGGGAGATTTGGCATGGTGCTCAGTGAACCTCCATAATATCTATCAAGTCAAGTCTTAGGTCGGTCATATAGAAGTATAGAACACCAACACATAGAAAAGGGCTGAAGAAACTGCTATAGGTCTCCTAGAGTGCTTGCCAAAAAGGTAAATATATTAGTTAGGAGTAGGTAGTAACTGTCAATGGATGTTCACATAAGAGTATTTACCAAACTTGCTCTCTTGCCACGCCTTTCACTCACTCTCTTCACTCAGGCTCGATAACTCTTTTTGTTTGGAGGATATTTGTTCTTCACTCTCTTGCTGTTACCCGCAGGAACGCAACAACCAAAGTGCATATTATCATATAGAAAGAGGCAAGACGTAGCAATTCGTACTGCTGGAAAAGTTTAGCTTCCAATTATGAAATTCTTGAAAAAATAGGATGAATTGAAATATTGCTGCTACACCAAAACTAAGTGTGAAAAGCCAAGATTGGATCTATAATGACGTGTTCAAGCCGTTAACTTATATACTGTGTACTCTGATAAAGTCTAACCCACCTTACTCCTCATGAATTACTAACTTAAATCTCTCTTAAGGGAAAAATCACGGTTCGAATCTTGGGATGCGACAAGAATCAGTGAGCGATAAGATGGGCTAGGTTCTCCCAAAGAGAACCCACATAAGCCGAGTCATTACAGGATCACTCAACGGAACAGACAAATGAAGAAGGAAAAGATTGAACCCTTGGCTACTAACTTTTCTATATTCATAGATTTGTTAGTATCTGCTCAACGAGACTCTGGCCTCTTTTCCAAGAAAAATCGACTTCTCCCTATTTTTAATGGACACTTGGCTTATCAATTAAATGATCCAATGGTCTAGATTAATAATCATTTCTACTTTAAATGTGATCCAACTAATCATTGCAATATTTTTCTTATTTATTATGATAGATATTGCATGAAGCTAATGTATGAAAACAATAAATTACAATTAGAAGTATGTTTGAACCTTGTTCACGGCTGACATTGCTTTGTTAGCACCTTTCATACCAACAGCAACAGACGAATGAGCAGATATTGCCTGCCAAAAAACTAGTTAACTCCCACATACCAAAATGAACTTAGGCAACTGAAGTTACAAAAGATCAAATCCAGTAAGAGAATTTACAATTTACCTGGGTGTGAGTAGCTATGCCTCTCATCTGAGCTCGGCTACCTTGTAAGTTGGCTATTTGTTGTCGAAGCCTGACAAGTTGGCGTGCAAGAATTTTAGTGGCTGCCTAAGAGATGCAAAAATAATGAAAGGTTAGCCACAATAAACTCAAGTCTTCTGGAGCTGAGGAGAATCCAAGAAAATATACATCATTCCCAGTTTTCCCAGTTCTCTTTATCTCAGCAACAAGTTTCTTTTCCTGTATCACAAGCAAACCCATTTTAGATCCTATTTTTATTTGTACAAACCATATTTAGAAATGTATGAAAAAGATTGGGAATACCTCTAATTGCAATGCATGGATTTCCCGCTCTACACCTACATCAAATATCGGGGACCATCGTATATTAGTTCTTTGAAATCTTAACTGAGCCAAAACAAATTGTGACAAAAAATGGAAACGTAGCATGGAAAGTAGTCATGTCATTATTTCAACTTTTCTCAAAATTAAAGTACCTTAGGATTGCAGCTTAATAAGATATTTAGTGATTTTTTAACAGATCAAAACATGCATGTTTTGGCTATCCATATCCTATCTATCTAGAATACATACAAACCAGAATCAACCTTAAATTGGGTTGATATAAAATGGAATTCGAGTTTGCTTGAAAATTGAACAACAACACCAATATACAACAACAATAATAAAAAAGCCTTTATTCCCAATAAATTTGGGGTCCAATATACGAATTCTTCTTTGTCTGTCTATTCTTTTCGTTGATAGAACTACTTAGAGATCCTTAGCATCTACCACATGTCAAGTTAATTTTAATCTATCTGTCTTCTAACTAGCAATAAGACAATTGGTTCTAGGGTCTTCCAAACACTACCAAAAGTACATATTTCCTCCGTCTTATAAAGATAAACTTTCTTTTCTTCGCCTATCCCAAATTATAGATCATTTTCCTTACTAAGAATATAGTTGACTTAGTTTTCTAATATGCTACTATTTAATGTATCTTGTTATCAACAAATATGAATCCCTCATATTTTTATCATTAATTAATGAGGGATATATTAGAATAAATGTAAGAAATATTTATTATATTCATTACATTTTCTTAATTTGTGTGAAAATGGAAGCAAGCCTATGTTTATGGGACGAGTGAGTATTATTTACGGCATTAAAACCAAGAATTACATTATACTCTTTAACATATTTGATGATTCGTATTTGTTTATTTCAAACTTATTTGAGTATATCACAACTATAGCTCTTATTTAGGTAAATCATAAACAGGCATAATTCCCTTCTTTAATTCTAACAAAAAGTTCAGACACAGAAAATTAATTGAACTGAAAAATCAATCAAATAAATATATTTTTTACAATAAAACCCTGAAATTAAAAAAAAATTAAAAACAAATATACCTCTAGTAGCATTTGCCATTTCCCTCTTACTCTCCCGAAGCGCCTCTGTAATCAAAGAGCTTAATCTTAACATCCACGATCAAATTGATTAAAACGAAATTGAAAAATTTTATGCTGTATAAGAATCTAAATAGAGAATTCAATCAAGTAATTAAATTAAACTAATAAATTGGAAAAAAAAAAGAAGAAGCAATTTTCGCGGTATGAATAAATACGGAACAAACCTTTGGCAGTAGGTTTTTTGGAGAATATATTCATTTTTTTAGTAGAATTATGGAGCTGTAAAACCCAGGATTCAATGTTCTTCGGATCAACGGAAAGGAAATCAGTATGTACATATGAATATTGAATATTTCCATACGCGTTGAAGTTGAGATTGTTCGTATCTATCTGCGTACGTGTCGAAAATTTAACCGTCCAAGGTCAGTACCCCGGAATTTCGCAGGTTTATTTCAATATTATTACATTTCCACCTCGGCCGCGTGACGTTTCAAGAATTTCAATTCCCCCCTTCAAGTTTGGTCAAATTACTTTTACCTCCCCGAATTTATATATGAAAATTTGGAGCTTTACATAGGGGTGACAATTGGCCAGGCAGACTTCCAAGTTCCAATTTTCCAAAGGCTCAACGAGCCGAGACATGCCTACACGTTTGGAGGACCCACGAGCAGGCTCGCCAAATTCTACACTAAATTTGTCGTAATAATTATTTTTTTGTTGTAACTCTATTCATTATATTTGATTCATTGTATTTGTACTTTGTTGTACAAATACGTTATTTGTAGTATTTGTTGGCCAAAAAAAAAAAAAAAAAGAAATTGATGACTTTCATACATATACACAAAAACAACGAATAGGCCCATGTTACAGCTTAGCGAGCCAGGCTATGAGCCAATCGAGCCCACTTCGGACAACAAACCAACCTTGGTTGGGCCAAAATGTCTGGGCTTAGTCGAACTGAGTCTAAAATTTGGACACATTGATTGGTTCAACCCAAGCCGTTATCATCACTAGCTTCGCAACATAACATCTCAATAAGTGGATTTGACTCTTTTAACCTTTAAAAACTAAATTTACTTATTTGAATATGATTCCTCACATGATGAAACTCGTCAATATGAATGTTAAAATCATTCATGATTTTCATCTGATTTAAAGTTGGAGGATAAGATCATGAAAAATTCATGTGATGGCCCAACTTTACAAATTTAGAATGACCTTTCAAGTGCGATTTTAAATTGTTTCTGTCACGTGAGAACCAAGATTCATGAATTTAAATAGATTGGGGATCTAGAATCTCACTATTAAAGGTTGATGAGTAAAAACCACACTAATTGTTAGGAAGCCAAATCTTAATTTCTCTTTACATATTTAAAGACGTATATGATCAAAATACAAGTGATATTATGCCTACCTTAGCGTGTTAATTAAGTAATTGTATATTAATTTTGTTCAACGGGATACAATCAGGTAACTACTTTTTGATTGGAATACTTTTTAACTTGATTCCAATCGAACGACCCTTTGATTAAATTTCAATTGAGGTAATAAACTACGAACACCACACGTATACGTTAATTATTACCAGAAATATATACAATTTCAATGAAATAATTCAAATAACAACCATTTATAACTTGCCACACTATCGATTTTCGTTAAGTAAAGCAACGAAATTAGGCAGGATTACACAATTAAAATCAAAATAAATATATTTATCCAATTGATTAAAATTTGAATACACGTGAATGTACAGTTACACAAATGGAATTTACCCACGGAAGGTGTGACTTTTGAGCATACCAAAGAAGTAGCTGCTTCCATGGTTGTATTAGTTGGTGTTCACGGTGAGAGCCAAGCAATGTGCACGTCTACTTGTACATGAAAATTCGATCAGCAAACTGAATGAGTTACTGAATGGTTCTCTATGAATGTGAAGAGCGAAACACCAATCAACTGTTGATGGCACTTTCCTTAAAGTTGGATCCCTAAAATTATATGTACAGTGTACATAGCGTTTTATTAATGGGAAATAATTTCATATTTGAAAAGAACTGAAAATCATACACATCCATATATGTCGTGGAATTCACGAGCATACTCATTCAGACAACGCAGTATATATACCAAAATTTGAGCTCATGTTGTCCTTCGACAAAAATCACCAAGATTTTCGAATTGATCCCACAATTAAAGATAACACTGTTTTTCATGTGCCCATAAAGTCATCAATAAGTAGAAGAAATCTTGCATAATAAACCAAAACAACTTTTTAAATACCAAGTGAAAACCTTAACATCAAAAGATTAAAATTTCTCAGGCTGTGATCTCCTTTTTAAGCTTTGCAAGCTCCTGCCTAACAACACCAGCTTTCTGCAAATATCGAAATAATAGTAGTTAGATCTTAATATTAAATGATGTGATAATAAATCAGGTATTGTATTTAGAGTTAGTGCATGTTTGGCTAAGCTCGAAGGTAACCAAAGCTACTTTCAATCATCTTTTTTTTTTTCGAACACGAGATATCTTATTCCTATGACAAGACAAGGACCCCTTTCAAAATAAGCCCCCGTTTGGACCCATTCTTTCCAAAATTTAATGGTTGGAATAATGTTTTTTTGAAAAATGTGTGGTTGAAAAAGAACAAAATTTTTTTGATTTACATATAATATTATTTTATAGAAGATTGTGTGGTTGAAAATAAGATAGATAAAAAGATTGAGGAGGAGAATGGGGGCCAAACGGAGGCTAAGCATCCATTTTGCCCATTCTAGGTACAGATTCTTCAAAACTTATTTTCAACCATACATTCTCCCAATAAAACAATTTTGCAAGTGGACATTTTAAACCCCACATTCTCCAATAATAATAACAACAACAATAATAAATCACTTTTCACAAAATCTATTCTCAAGAAATCTATCTCAAACAAACCCTTTATTGTTTATAGAGAGCATACAAAGGTAAAATCCTCCTACACATGAAAGCATGCATGAAAATAAATAATCTGCCATGAGCCATAACATACCTTGATTTTAGCCAACATTAGCTTGAACCTATCAAAATCGTTCAGTGAGGCCCTTCTCTTCTGCACAATCAGCTTCCTTCCCCATGAACTGTTTTCCCACTTGTTTTTCACATCTGCCACAAGTCATAAGTTTTCAATTTCAAGATGTCAAATAATAATGTGGTGCAAGGTTTTCTAAAATTTCAATGCTAACCAGCAGCCTCCATTGCAGCAATAAGAGTCTTCTTCTTTGGAACCCTTTTGATGTCAATCTTGATGTCGGTAAGTTGCAGCCTCTTAAAATTCATTTGGCTCCGCACCATGTCTGGGGCATCAACAAGAGCCTGCCAATTCACAAATAGTTTGATGAACAGATTCAAAGTCCGAATCTTCACTTAATTTCTGTAACGTGAACTAAACTACCTAATATAACATTCTAACTACTTGTAAATCAAATGGACAATTGAAATAAAAGTTTTGCATTAAGTTTAATTCCAGAATCACATTACGAAGTTTAAATAAAGTCTAAATCTCAGCATAACAGTATTGCAACTGAAAAGACAGAAAGGAAGCTACCTGGAATGTGTTTAGCTATGATTACAAGTAACATTTTGGAAAAGTAAGTTTTATTAGTGAAAAAGAAACTTTGAAATCGAGAGCATGTTTGGGAGTGCTTAAGATGCTTATAAGCACACCCGAGCACCCTTTGACAAATTAAGTAACTTTTAGCTCTGACAAATATGCTCTAATGATGGACCCGTCAGTCAATCACAAGAGCCTCACTTGTGATATACGTTAAATGGAGCCTCGGAGTGGATTGTTAACAAACTATTGAAGTATATTAAGGAAAATTGTGCCACTAGACACGGTAGTGTGACATAAATAACTTAATTGAAATTGTTTGAGATCAATCATACCCCATTACACTTGTTGCCTGTCATCACTCAACAGGCCACACAAGTGATTATATTCCCTTGAAGATAAAAAGGAATATCAAAAGCCCAAACAGAAACGATTTATGAGCACAATAAACTTCATTACGCTTGAGATTAAAAAATTCACAAATAAAAAAAATCTATCCACCAAAACCTGGGTAGTAATTGGAATGACGCAAGAGTAAATTTTAATCAATATCAATTAAAGATTCGATACAGAAAGAAATAAAATGGTACAGAAAAAGAGAAATCATAAAGTGCTATTCCTTGACAAATTATTATAGAACTACACACACACACACACACACACACACACACAAAGTTGATTTTAAGCAAATATAAAGTGAATAGAAGAAGGCCAAAATAGATGTCGACAAACCCGATTCTGATCGATGACGTCAACGATAACGACAAGCTTCCCATAGTCCTTGCCGTAGTTAACAAGAGCCACCCTTCCGATCTCTACGAACCTCTTGAACGGCTATAAATCATTCATGAGGGAATTAAAACCTATTCTCAACATAAAATAATCGAAATATACATAAAAATACACATATATAAGATAGAATGAGTTTTGTGAAGCTCACCATTTTCGGCGATCTATGAGAGAGCGCACCAGAGGAGGAGGGTGCGTAAGAGAGGGGAATACGATTTAGGGTTTCGAGGAATAGGGTTTTGATTATGACTGGGCTTTTATAAAATAAACGTTATTCTTGTGGGCCTTTACGATTGACGCAAATGGCACCAAAAATATTCTTATTGTGAACCTTTTTATTTTCTATTTTTTGCAGAGTCAATTTATTATTTATTTATATTTTATTTTTCTAGAAGGAATAATATATTGTTGAATTTATCAACTTTAAAAATATATATATTACTTGAGAATGTAATATCATAAAATTGCTCTATTTTACAATAATCAAATTCATTGAATAAAATATCATAAACGACTTATAAAATTAGAAATCAAACATGCTTTTCGATTTTTTGTTTTGAGAAATTGTTTTCCAAAATGACAAAATTTAACGTGATTTTTTCAATCTTAAAACATACTCTCAAATTTAAAAACTAATAATGAATTTAAAACATAAACGCAAATCAGGCGAATCTTAGAATTGAGATATTAAGCTTCTGTTTGGTATTGATTAAATTCATATTTTAATTTAAATTAAAGTTTAACAATTAATATTAACCACGTATTTCATGAGTCCCAAAAATTTTCGACCACACATTTCATAAGCTTTTATCAAAATTTATTGAAAATCTAATTTTTATTATTACCAAATAGAGGCTTTAACTCTACCCATACACAATGATCTACAATTTTGGATTGAATTTTGGAGTTGGGACCTCATTCAGAATTATCAAACCAAAAACGAAAGTTTTGGATATATTCTGAAAGGATTAATAGTAGAAAACGTCCTAGAGATGTTTTCATGTGCGATATCTCTTACCTATTGAAAATCATAGAAAATTCACCTTCATCAAGATCGGTCAAATTTGATGTTAAAAACAATAAAAAATTTCCAAAACTAGAAATGATTAGTTGCAATTTCAGTGCCCAAACTTTTTATTTTTTTTGTAAATTAAATCCAAATTTTTATATGTACCGCCTACTATCTCAAATCTTTAAAACTCCATTTTCCACCCCCACCCCACTTTGTCTTCTTCCCCAAAAATTTAAAAAGAAAAAAAATTTCTTCCCTTTAAACCTCCACCACTACCAGCACCATCATCGGTCCGCCATAACCACCCAAATTTTGTTTCAAGCACAAATTTAAAATTCATACCTTGAGGTTAAGATTTTGAAATTGAAATTCAAGGGTCACATCTCACCTTTATTGTTGAAGAAAGAAAGAAATAAGTAGTGGACAGACCTATGGAAATGGAAACGTTTCCCCCCTTTAAATACTTTGATTTTCGTATATCTAACAAGAAGAAAGACTCAAATGCCTTCTTTTTCTCTATCTCTCTCTTGCCGCCCCCCTCCCCTCCAAAAAAAAGCTCTGTTCTTGAGGAACATTCTCATTTCTGTTGTGTAAATTTTCTTTCAAAACAACATTAATTGTGTTAATGTAGGGGTTGTTATATATTGATACTATAAATATAAAAAGTGAAAAAAATAATCAATTTAGATAAAGTGTCAAAGTAGTAGAAAATGTGACATTTGTGTGGGATGTCGGGGGTTCGAATCACTCCCCACGTAATTATTAAAAAGTCTTTGATTGGAGCCTTGAGCTCTTGGGATTCTTTGACTAAAATAATTTTTTTATTTATTTTCGAAATTATTTAATGGGTCAAATTAGGCAGTATTTTGTGACCTTTTTTTAATAACCCACTACTCATAAAGTCATTAAAATTCTGCATAATTCTCTGATCATGGAGGAGACAGTTACACCCAATTATTGAATAACCTAAATTCGATGCCGCCTCTTCAGCCTCAACTGCAGTGAGGCCGAAGAAATGGTTTAGGTCGACGTCTGCCTTCCTTATCTTTATCGCGTGCATTCGAGCTGCCTTTGGAGAAGATTAAGGAGGAGCATAAGGAAGAGAATGAGGGGAAATCTAGGGGAGGGAAATGCGCAGTGATGTGGACAATTTCTTGTTGGATTTATGAATTTGTATTTGAAGTGGAATCTGGGTGGCTGTGGCCAATCGGCGATGGTGGTGCTGACGGTGGTGAGGTTCTTTTTTATTTTTAGGGAAGAAAAGAAGCGGGTGACGTGAAAAACAAAGTTCTAAATAATTGTGATTGGAAGTGGCACATATAAAAAATTTGCATTTTAGTTTGTAAAGAATTAAAAACTTTCATTTTAGTTTGCAAAGTTTAGTAACCATTTATGTGATTTTTAAATTTCGAAGGCTCCGTAGAAATCTTTTGCAAAGTTTAGTCACAATTTAGGTGATTTTAAAATTCAATGACCCCTTAGAAATCTTTTACAAAATTCAGTGACCATTTAGACAATTCACTCAAAATTTCAAGCATATACATTCTCAAACTTTCATTTTCGTGATCATAGATTCCCAATGGATGAAATTAATCTATTTTGCCATTAAATATTCATATACTCAGGGGCGGATCCAAGAAATAAGGAAATAGGGGCTAAAATTTAAGAAAGTCTACTTCACTTTACTGTTTAACCGCATTCCCAAACTTAAATATTGGATAAATATTAACTAGTTTTTCATAGAGAGTTTTAAATACAGCCAAACAAGCTTATTCAAGAGTTTAATTTCAAATTCCAAAGAAAATAGATGCAATTTCATCCATTATCCGACGTTTGTCTTTAGATCATTTCAATACAAAAATGAATAACATACTCATCACGACCCCTCTGTAATACCCCGAACTTCACGTTCTACATTTGGCCAATATGATTCATGCATTTTATACTAATTACATTGTCATTTGTATCAATTTCCTGATTGCCTTCTCTTAAAACGATGCATTTGATCATCAAGGTTTTAAAAATCTTTACACGGTGATAACCTTCGACTCTTCGATCTAGGTGGTGAATTTTATATTGAGCTATGATAGAAAGTTAGATTAACTAAATGTTGGAGATTGGCTTGGTAAGTAATGTAATATTTAAAAGGCCGGAATTTTGTATCAACGAAGGTTCGAGCTTTCCATTCGGCTAATCGAGGTCACCTTAAACCCTAGATAGGTAATTCACATATTTGGGACATGAGGGATGAAGTGACATTATCACAACGTAATAATATATGTCTTATATGACATTATAAATATTGAGGTGCGAATTGTTGAAATCGGTTGAGAATCGGGTAAGAAATTAAATGAACAGTTGAGGAATTAGATCTATAAAATACTTTGGGATCTTAATGTAAGTGAAATAGATTGTAAGCACGTCAAAATAAACCAATGACACTTGATTTATACCTGCAAGGATAGATGTAAAATCAGAATTTAATCAAAGGAGACAACACCTACTTAACATGTGACGACTTGCCACTTTAACCTCTAATTCCTTCAACCTTAAGCCTCCAACACGTCCTATAAGTCCTTAGAACTTTACACAAGATATTTATAACTCTTCTAAGTCACATATGGCTCCATGTGGTGCAAGGGAGAAGTCAAAGTTGGCTGCAAGAAGCCACCTCCTACTTGCACAGCTCATGCTAGGGGACTTTTCAGACTTTTCACTTTAATATATAATTGCTTCAACCTTAAGGCATAAATTTCGTGTCTAATCCCCAAGGACTTAATATAGGATGAATATATATCTTAAATATCATAAATGGACACAAAAATAATGGTAGAAAAGTCAAGTATTGCAGCCAAGATGACAGCTCCTGCTTAGTGACTCACCTTGATTGCTTGAGGTGGCTGCAGCCCATGATATTCTCAATCCTTAAGTAATATGCACGACTTCAACCATTTAAAGACCACTCATTTACCTCCTAGATAATATATTAACTCCCTTAACTCGTCCCTAAATGATTCCAAGTGAAAAGAGGGTGAAACAGTCAAAGAGAAATAGAAACAAGAAGCTGGAATTTCTGAACAGTTTTGTTACTCCACAGTTTTGAGGTTTGTTTCTATTATTTCTTAAGGGGTTTATGATTTTTTGAACATCTGAACTTGTTTGTGATTAAGTTGGAGTGTTGTTAATGATGTTATGATGCCTAAATATGGATAATTAATTGCAAGAATTTGAAAGAAAGTAATCTGGACAGAGATGAGGAATTGCTGGATTGAGTGATTTATACCTTGATTTTGAGATGATACTTAGTGTTTAACTTATATATATCAATATGAACGTTTTTATATGTAAGTAGGGAGTGTAGAAATGATTTTAATGGCTTAAAATTCTGTTGGTATCATAATAATAAAATGGAAACCGAAAACAGTCAAAGGGAAAAACTGCCTGATTTTGTGCAATGGAAAATGGACTGTTTTTGAAGCTCCAAACACTTCATTTGTCACAACGTTATGATCTGATTATCTTCACATATATGTTATAGGTGTGTGGTAAAAGTTTGGGAGCCGTTAAATGTAGGTAAGGACATGAAAAAGAATTTGAAAAATGAGTGGACGGTGATGGAAACCTAGAAAACAGATTCTGTCCATTTGGGTATTTAATGTGATTTCAACATTTAGATGTCCCCTAATGAACTCTTGGGCTTAGAAAATATATCCTAAGGAATACTAGGTTGTCGAAAACAATTGGATGACGTTGACGTTCATAATTGGACTCGAGAGATAGCGAGACTTATGGGATTAATTTGTAATGCCATCGATAACTTGAAATAATAATTTTGTCTAAATTGTTTTGGCGTGAATGGACGTATTTTGGGATTGTGTGTGTTAAGATTATTAAATGGAGGATTGTATTTAATATTAGATGATAATACAAGCGACTTTTCGACGTTGAGAGAAAAAGGAAATTGATAGACACTCCATAAGAGCTTACACACATAAAGGCGAAAGGTAAGTGAAAATTCATTTGCAACTACGATGCAAGAACCTAGTATATGTGACATAGTAATGTTGAAATATCTACATAAATTTGATAAGAGGCTTATAGCACATCATATGGTGGTTACGATCATTGAGTATGAGGTTACGTAACCTATTGACACCAATTTTTATTAAATACGTCATTTATGAGTATTTTCATATGCATGCACGACATGTAACATGGTTGAAAATCCTGCGTGCAAAATATGATTTC